CTGGGAGTTGGCTCAGTTCCGCACAAGGATGCTGACTCCAAGTCTGTATGGGCTTAGAATGGGCAGCCCCATGGGGCTGGAGTAGTCCTCCACCCGCAAGAGGCTGTGGGCTACTCTCTGGTAACGGTTAACGGTTGCTTGGTAAGCATCACCTGTTAAGGTTTAACTGTTTACCCATTTACATCCCTAACCAAAAGTGATTAATTCTTTCTTTTAAACAAAAGCATTCATTAACAGACATTTTGTATTCTCCAATAGCCAGGTAACGAGTACAGAGAGCATTAAATATCTTAAAACCTCAAAAACAGATACTTATATCTGTGATGTGGCATCCTATGTTTTATGCAAATGTTTATGATTTTAATGTTTCATAACTGAGGTATGCTTTATGCAAGATAGCTCATGCCAATATCAATGGAAAGGTTATGATTTATTGAATATAATTATCCTATTTGTATGCACGCACCATTTCTGTTTTTGGAGCAGAAATATGGACTGTAGATTTATATTAACTATGTGTTCATATTAGGCGAAGCTTACAACCTGCCCTTCGGCTATGAACTGTAAAAGAGCTAAACCTTCCTTTGAACAAGTGGGTCAGGCTGTGAAGAATGGCTACAGGGGCCCTACAGAAATATGTGACAATGTCATCTGACACTGGAACCCATCTTGAATTCTGTACTTTTCCCATGAGAAGCTGCAGCGGAGGAGGGGGATCTAACCAGGAACGAAGGAATTTAAGGGTGGGAGTGAGGTAATCCAAGCTGTCAGTTCTACCGAATTCAAGGTGACTTCTGGAAACAACTAAGACTGAACTGGGGGAAGGAACTTGGCCCGCGCTGAAAGGACATTGGGCCTTTGAAGATTGTCAAAACCACATTTAGGGGAGATTTTACAAGTAACTTGTTTATTTAGTGTATCTAGTTTAGATTACTAAGAAAAATAATACAACGCATGCAATCAGTTTTGTTCGGTTCGCTGCCTCTTTGCCCACTTAAAATATACCTTTTCACAGCTGTTAAAGTTATTGCTGGTTTATAATAAAACCTGGGATATGTAATTTGTAACTGAAGGAAAGGCGGCGGTGTATGCTTTCCATCACACCGAGAAAGGAGGAGAACTTCATTTACCTTAAGTTCTGTACTCCTGGGTGAGTGAACATCTGGTATTCAAGTAAATCTCTTAAGCTGAATCCTCCCAGAACTGATCTCAGTGTCTATATCTGCATCTGAATGTGGCCTTGGGTGGGTTTTGCAAAAAAGGCTGAAGAGCCTGGCTCAGCAAGGCAAAGTAACAGGGGGCCCAAGCTGTCAGAGAAAGGGAACTCAATAGTGTCTAAGCACCTCAGGTGACATCCTAAGGGTCCCAACTTGTCACAATCTTCTATTTCCAGTCACTATCAATAGACCATTACTGCATAAAGCTGTGGTGGGCAACCTGCAGCCCATGGGCCACATGTATCCCATCAAGGTTCTATGTGCAGCCTGCACACCACCACCTATCTTTCATGTGCTGGGGGCCCTGCACTTACCTATTCACCTCCACTCTCCCAGAACTTCCAGAATACCGTAAATCGTCTGATTTGTGCCCCCATCCTTGCTCCTCCTCCCTTCTCAGAGCTTGAATGCCCCAAAGCAACTCGTTTGTGAAGTTCAAGCACTGGGAGGGAAGGGAAGGGAAGGAGCGGGAATGGGGCGCACTCAGGGAAGGAGGCAAGGAATAAGTTGGGTGGGGGTTTGAGGGCCAGGTATGCACCGAAGGGGAGGGTCAAGCAGCCCCGGACAAAATGGTAAGTGACACATGTTTAAAGCAAGGTCATATGTGAAGTGCATGTTGATTGCATACAACATGGTGAGAGCCATGTGCTCCCTCAGCTTCTTCATGCTACTTTTGCCAGCAATTTAATTTGTTATTAATAATGGAAGAAGACATGATAAAGAAGAAGAATGAAGTAAAATGTATTTCAACTTATTCTTGGGGTCATGGTTAGTGCAATGCCTGATTTCAATCTTGCGGCCAAAAGGGATGAAGAAGCTTTGGTTGCCTATTACTAGCATAAAGGAATGTTTCAGAGGGATGATTCTTCATAGTAGAGCCTGAATCCATGTAGCCTATAAATAAGGGGG